ACGGAAGGAAGCGTGAGTGGGTTCCATGATGTAATGTTTTATTCTGACTTGGCGGTGGAATAGGAACCGGACTGATGCTCCCCAGAACGGAAATGGAGCCGGGCCCACAAGGACCTGTTTCAAAAAAAAAAAAAAAAAAAAAAAAAAAAAAGTTACAAAACAAACAAACAAAGCCCTGCACCCAGAACCCGAAGAAAAAAAAAGCTTCTTTCAACCAAAGAAGGAAGAAAAGCAAAGCAAAGCAAAGCAAAGCAAAGCAAAGCAAAAAGCAAAGCAAAAAGCAAAGCAAAAAGCAAAGCGAAGCGCAGCAAAGCAAAGCAAAGCGAAGCAAAGCAGTGCAGCAAAGCACAGTGCAGCAAAGCAAAGCGCAGCGAAGCGAGCCAAGCCAAGCCCAGCCTCTTTCATAGCGAGGATTGACAGATTGAGAGCTCTTTCTCGATTCTATGGGTGGAGGTGCATGGCCATGCTTAGTTGGTGGAGTTGAAAAAGAGGAGGGGGAATCTATTAAAAAAAAGGAAAGAAACAAAATCTCTTACTTTTTTTCTCTAACTCTCTCGTCTCGCAGCCAACGAATGGCTGACCTTCCATTGTTTTTGGTTGTTCCTTGCGGAGATGGACAATTGTTGCTTGATGTTCCCATGCAGAAGGGCGTGGTGGACGTGGTAGATGGTAGCAGAAAAAGAAAGAAAGAAAGAAAGAAAGAAAGAAAGAAACAAAGAAGGAAATAAAAAAACTGTAAGTTCAGACGCTTCAGAGCATCTGTGCACGTCAACCTCCAGCGAGAGTTATTAATTCCCAACTTGAAGGTGGTTTTCGCAGTCGAATAGGCACTTGCGAGTTGTAGCAATCAATCAATGGACCAGCGTGAAGCCAAGCAATCTAAATGCGACCAATTTGAAACTTATCAATCATTGGCAATGAATTGATGCATGTGCAATGACTTGCTGATTTCTGCTGCCGAGATTGACTGCGAGGCTGTACGCTAACCGGTAGGTTAGATTCGTAATTTTGTTTGGCTGAGGGCTATCCGAGAGACCTGCCTGTAAGGAAATTCGTGAGGGACAGATCTGCAAATCCGGGAAAATACAGGCCCGATATTAACCGAATTCCTACAGCTACCCTAACTGCCTATAGCAGGCCCGGGCTACCCTAGGACTGAGAGGCCCTAAGCGGCCTGTACTGCTAGACGGTCCTATAGCCTATAGCCGGGTCCGGTAGAGGCCGGGAGGCCGAAACAGCAACGGTACCGATCGGTCAGTCAGTCCGGTCTAGGTCTAGAGAGTCTATAGATAGGTTAGGCCCATCGATTCAGGACTTTTGGCAATTCATTTTTCGCGTCGCAACGTTCGTGGCCAACCAAGTTCTGCAGCGTTGAAGGTCTGAGGCGGCATCCCAGACTTCAGCTTGGTGATGACAGCCATAGCCGGCCTCTGAGAGGTTGCCGTGGGGCACTCTCAGCGCATCTACCCCTAAGGGTATCTGCGTGTGGCAGGGCTATTCAGAGGCTCTTCCATGGGTACATGGGGATGCTGTTGCTGGCGCCCTACTTCGCAGGGCTTCTGTAGCAGTGAGACAGCCATAGCTGCCTCCTTCTTCGTCAGAGTGACTCATCGACACTGAGGACTACATCGCAGTTCATGATCGTCATCTGGGTGGATGGCGCTTGCCTCTGGGAGGCTGTTTCAGTGTGGCGCTAGTCACTGGGAGTGGGGTATTGGGTGTGGTGTGTGATACTGAGGTGGCGAGATACTGAGTTAAACTCTGTAACGATAATTGAAGTTACTTGACTTGAGTTGGCTCATCATTAGTGTTCTATTCCGACTGTGATCTTCGTAGTGTCATCTTGTGATTGGTTGATGGGAGTTTGTGAGAGAGAGAGAAACACTGAGTGTGTTCTCCCCATCTGTGCATGGTTGCTATTCCGCTGGTTATCTCAGGTCTGTGTACAGTGTGGACTCTGTATCCTCTCCCCTTTGTCTTGTGCATGTATGGGCATGTGTGAGATACTCTGTGTGTGAGTGGCGAGAAAATCATCAGACAACCAAGTTCATAACAATTGGTATCGGAGCGAGGTTGGATTTGGAGCACTGAGGGTTGAGCGTAACAGAGGCATCTTCTCCTTCTGGCTTTATCTGGCGAAAAGTTCCGTGGCGGTTCTTCATCTTCAGTGAAGACCCAGTAGAGAAGAAAACATACTAGCGGTGATCGCAGGGAATCAGTGTGCGATTGATCAGGCGCCCTGGGCCTGTCCGAGCGCCTGACAGGGGTTGGCGAGAGCAGGGGTATTTCGCCATCCACCCTTCTGAGCTCAGTTGATGACTGGGTTCAGGGTGGCGAATTACACCCTAATCCAGTGATAACTGGGTGGCGGCTTCAACTCAGCATAGCGCTGGAGGAAGATTGATCGTAGGATCAATCTCCTGCTGAATTAACCCTACTCAGGGCTAAATTTAGCATTCGGGGTTGAGGACTGCAGTGGCGAGATATCTCCAAGAGAGTTCTCCATTGCCACTGAGCCAAATTCAGTGAATCTGAGAGTTGGGGTTGAAGCCCCACCGTGTAGTGAGTAAGATCAACAAGTTTCAGGAGATTCTACGCGTGGAGATCAGTGGAGGAGTATCTGCAAGCAAATGGCGAGATCAGGGTTCTGTCAGCCATAGCCAGAACTTCATCATCCACTGGGGCAAACACTACAAGTGAGTGTGTTCCGTGTAAATCCCTGAGTAGCGATTAGTTTATTATAAGTAGAATTTGAATTGGTGGTCGGACTGTCAGTAGGGTCTCAATTTGGAAATTGTTAGACTGCAAGACAGCCATAGCCATCTTCTTCCTCCTCACCCTGACTCATATCTCCCCATATATTGACCTGTTCTGACTCAAAATTGTTCAGGGACTGTATGACAGTATTGCGCTGCACCCTGTATGATCACTCTGTGACTTCTGTACAGAAAAAGAAGTAATACTGTGAATCTTGGTTTTGCGCTGAGTCTATTTTTAGCTTGTGCTACCTAGGGCCAGTCAAAACTTAGAATCTGTCCGTCAGATTTCAAGTCTGTCTCGGGCGAATCGCAATTCAGTATTTGTCATCTGTGCCAAAGCGCTGACCCAGAATTAGTGTATTTGAGTAGTTACAGTGAAATACAGTAAATCGCTGTGTCAGTGATTATTTCCGTTGATGTCAACAACAGTGGCGAAATTGGAGTCTAGGGCTGTGAGGGACCAGTCTACTGCATCGCTACTACTTGTTGCTCGGTTTCAGTCAGTTCTTGTCTGTATCTGTCTCTACCACTGATTATTTTTGTTTTCTGATGGGCTCTGGAATGTTAGTGATCTCTGGAAAGCACTGAAAGTGTATGTTTTCACTCCAGTGATGGTTCAGTGTCAGGTATAGGAAATCGTTAGTGAGTGGTTTTACTGGACTTTAGTCAGTCTGATTACTGACCCCAGGGATTGTGTTCTAACCCTAACCGCTTGTGCCTACTAACCCACCTTACCCTGTGAATTGATGCTGCAGCAATTTCTGAGTGTCTGAGTGGATTGTGAATCGCTGCACCTCTTGCTGTCTAACCTTTTGTTAATTGTGTCTGAAGGGGAAAATGACTGAAGCCACTGACTCGGGTGAGGGGCAGGTAGAGATTGTGGTCAAGGGAGAAGAGAAACCTTCCCCCTCTACTCCTCTCCCTCCTCCTCTCACCCCTGCGCAGCGGTGAAAGAGAGAAATTGAGGAAAAACTGTGAGAGCAACAGGCGCTGCTCGCAGAGGCTTAGAGACAGGAGGCGGCTGAATTGGAAGCGGCAACAAATGCCTCTAGGAAAGAGTTTCTGCTGCAGCAGGCTGAGAAGACTGTGACAGATGAGAGGGTTGCCCAGTGTACCAGGTACTTGGCTGAGCTGGTGATTCTGCAGAACAAAACCATTGCCAGCCACTTTACTAACTGGGATGATCGTGTACAGCGCCTGGAGCGCAGGATGGATGAACTGGGGGCTCAGCAGTCCCAGATACTGGACGCGATCCAGAATTTGACTGCGCAGTTAACAGCAGCCAGGGGAAGAGCAAGGGACGTCGCTCTTCTACCCCTGCCCGACGCCCAAATTTGCCACGGGACGTCCGTTTCCCAGCTGACCCCCTGAATCCCAACACTCTCCCTTGGCATGATGTGAAGATTCAGGAGGGAGTGTGGAGGAAAAGGAAGGAAAGAGGGGTCTGCTTGCGATGTGAGGGGCAGCATTTCCTCAAGGACTGCCCGTACATGCCAAGCCCAGCCCAGTCAAAAAAACTGAAGCTGGCCCTGGAGACAGCAGTTCCCTCCAGTGCTGCATGTTCATCGGCTGATGGCAGTGCACCTGCAATAGCTTCAGTTGAGACTATGAGTGACTATCCCAGTGTGGGGACTGCACGGGCAGCATCCTTCTGTTATGAGGATCCTGACCCGGATCAGGAACCGGAGCAGTCTGAGCTTCAGGCCCTTGCTGCCTTTTTCTTTCATCTGAAAGAACAAAAGAAAAGCAAGTCTGATCTCATCCTACTTCGGCCCTGATCAACCACAACAGAATTAAAGGGTTACTGGACCGTGGGGCCACCAGAACTCCATGTCTCCCAGTGCAGTCAAAAGACTGCACCTGGTCATGAAAGTTGTGCAGCTGCAGCAACCGCTGCATGTCAGGATCGGTGACTCCACTGTATTAACCATCAGGGAGAAGGTCAGGGGCATCCCTATCCCTGTTACCTTCAACAACGCTGGAGAAGTCAGACATAGTCTGAACTTCTACATATTCCCTGATTTGCCCTTTGATCTGGTATTCTCCATGTAGTGGCTGAAAGCAGTCAACCCAAGGATCGATTGGCAGATCCCCAAGGTTGAGCTGCCTAACAGAAAGGGGGTGTATCAGCCATGCATGATTGCTGCTGAACACCACCCTAAATCTTCATGCTTCTGCCTGAGAGCGAGGGAGTTCTATGCCCTCTCGCGCCAGTATGATCATGAGCGTCTGTTTCTAGCTCTGGTCAAGCAGACAGACGCCCCCACTGTTTCTTGTCCTCCTAAGATACAGCAGGTGGTTGACCAGTATGCTGATCTGATGCAGGAGCCCGTTGGACTACCCAACCGGCCAACCAAGCATCACATCGAGTTGCTGCCTGGAGCGGTCCCTCCCAAGGGCCGCATCTACAGGATGTCCCCTGCCGAGCTTGAGGAGCTCAGACAGCAGCTTGAGACCCTGACCAGCAAGGGCTGGATCAGACCCAGCACATCTGAATTCGGTGCACCTGTTCTTTTTGTACCCAAAGGGAACGGCGAGTTCAGGATGTGTATTGACTACAGGGGTCTCAACAAGATCACTAGGAAGAGTATTGAGCCACTTCCTAGGATCGACGACCTTCTGGACATGGTGCAGGGCTGCACAGTGTTCAGCAAAGTCGACCTCAAATCTGGTTACCACCAGATTGAGATGGCAGAGGAGGATGTCTACAAGACAGCCTTCAAGACCAGGTATGGTACTTACGAGTTCTTGGTCATGCCATTTGGACTTTGCAATGCCCCAGGCAATTTCCAGACAGAGGTGCACCACATCTTCAGGCCTTACCTGGATAAGTTTATGGTTGTCTACCTAGATGATATCCTGGTATTCAGCAAAACTGCCAGGGAACATGCGGAGCACTTGGCTCTAATCCTTCAGTCATTACGTGACAGCCAATACAAGATCAACAGAGAGAAGTCCTCTTTGGGAGTTCCCTCTGTTATCTACATGGGCCACGTAATCTCTGGAGATGGTCTGGCTCCTGAAGCAGCCAAGATTGCTGCTATTCAGGAGTGGCCTCAGCCTCAGATAGTGAGGGATGTGCGGTCCTTCATGGGCTTGGCCTCCTACTACAGAAAGTTTGTCAGGAACTTTTCTGCAGTGGCTGCACCCCTGACTAACCTAACAAAGAAAGACACTCCCTTCCTTTGGTCCCTGCACTGTCAGCTGGCCTTCACACGACTCAAGAAGGCCTTGACTCGTGCACCTATCCTGAAGTTACCTGACCCCACCTTGCCGTTCATCTTGACCACTGACGCCAGTCAGTATGGCATTGGGCCAGTACTACAGCAGGATGACGGGAATGGTCTACGACCTGTAGAGTTCATGAGTAAGAAGATCAAAACTCAAAAGCTCCAGGACTCTACCTACGAGAAGGAGCTATACGCTCTTGTATGTGCCCTGAAGCATTGGAAGCACTTTCTCCTGGGTAGGCACTTCAAGATCTTTTCAGATCACTCCACCCTGCAGTGGATGAAGTCCCAGGGAGAGTTGAATGACAAGCTGGCACGGTACATTCAGTTCATTGACATGTTTGACTTGGAACTGAAACATAAGAAGGGCTGCTACAATAAGGTAGCAGATGCCCTCTCTCGTAGGCCTGACTCTTTTGCATTGATCTCCTCTACTCACTCCTTTGGAGAGGAAACCCGTCAGACCATTGCTCGTCTGTTGCCTCAGGACGAGACTTTTGGACCCATTGTCAGGAACCTGCAAGCAGATCCTAACTCTGAACCAGGCTATGCTCGAAGTTCAGACCTGCTGTACACTTACAGCAGAGGTGAGGAGCGCTTGTGCATTCCCCAGGACCAACGACTCAGGACACTACTGATGTCAGAGTGTCATGATGCCCGTGGACATTTTGGGTTCCTGAAGTCGTATGCAGCCCTGTCGCAGCACTTCTTTTGGAAGGAGATGTGGAGTGAGATGTTGCGCTATGTGGACACCTGTGAGCTCTGCCAAAGGAATAAGGTTCAGCGGAAACCTCCTTTGGGATTACTCAAACCCTTACCCATACCTGATGGCCCTGCCCAATCTGTGTCGATAGACTTCACAGATTTAGGCAAGACCACCCCTCGTGGCATGTGTCAGGTTATGGTCTGCGTGGACAGGTTCTCCAAATACGCAGAGTTCATCCCCTTGCCAGAGGTAGCTAGGGTACCGGCTGTGAGAACAACCTTCTCTGAGAGGTGGGTCACACACCATGGACCACCCACCTCTACAGTCAGTGATCGAGACCCCAAATTTTGCAGTGATGAGTGGCAGTCCTACTGTAAGGACTACCTACACTCTCGCCTGGACATGACTTCTGGTCATCGTCCTGAGGCCAATTGGTTGGCAGAGGTGATGAACCAAGTCTTATTCCAGCTGCTGCGTCCTGTCATCTCTTCTGATCAACAGGACTGGGATCTTCACTTGGCGAGGGCACAACTCATGTATAACATGTCTGTCCACTCCTCGACCGGGTTCAGTCCATACCGGTTACACTGGGGACGTGAACCACGACAGCCTCTCGATGACATCATCGACAAGGCTAAGCCTGACTTGACCCCAGGCACTGCAGAGTTCGCCAGACGCTATCGTCTGGATGTGGAAAGGGCCCGCGCGAACTTGTTCAAGGCCCAAAAGGCCATGATTGAACAAGCCAATCGCCACAGGCGACCTTCCCCCATCCGCACTGGTGATCAAGTCTAGGTGGCCAGTTCCAAGCTGTCGAGGGAGGAGGATATCTCCCCCAAGCTGTTGCCACGCTACTTGGGTCTGTGGCAGGTCCTAGATACAGTGGGCACTGATCCCTTCGGTCCGCCGTATGTTATCGACGTCCCGCTGCATCTACGTACCTATCCGGTCTTTCATGCATCCAAGCTGCTACCTTTCACTCCAGCTGATGCATTCCCAGACCGGCCCCCTCAATTTGGTCCACCGATCCCTGGCAAGGGATATGACGTGGAGTGGATTGAGGATGAGTGGGGCACAGGCCCCGACCGGCAGTATCTTGTCAGGTTTGCTTTTCAGACCCCTTCTGAGAACCGGTGGTTCTACAGAAGAGACCTGATCAAGACAACAAAGTCCATTGTCTTGCGGTATGAAGCGGCTCAGAAGGGTAACCTTTGGCGTTCACCTCGCCTGCACCCTTAGCTCGGAGGTCCTCGCTCCCGGGGAGGGTAAGCCTGCAATGACTTGCCGATTTCTGCTGCCGAGATTGACTGCGAGGCTGTACACTAACCGGTAGGTTAGATTCGTAATTTTGTTTGGCTGAGGGCTAACCAAGAGACCTGCCTGTAAGGAAATTCGTGAGGGACAGATCTGCAAATCCGGGAAAATACAGGCCCGGTACTAACCGAATTCCTACAGCTACCCTAACTGCCTATAGCAGGCCCGGGCTACCCCTAGGACAGAGAGGCCCTAAGCGGCCTATACTGCTAGGCGGTCCTATAGCCTATAGTCGGGTCCGGTAGAGGCCGGGAGGCCAAAACAGCAACGGTACCGGTCGGTCAGTCAGTCCGGTCTAGGTCTAGAGAGTCTATAGATAGGTTAGGCCCAACGATTCAGGACTTTTGGCAATTCATTTTTCGCGTCGCAGCGTTCGTGGCCAACCAAGTTCTGCAGCGCTGAAGGTCTGAGGCAGCATCCCAGACTTCAGCTTTGTGATGACAGCCATAGCCGGCCTCTGAGAGGTTGCCGAAGCTGGGGCACTCTCAGCGCATCTACCCCTGAGGGTATCTCCGTGTGGCAGGGCTATTCAGAGGCTCTTCCGTGGGTACATGGGGATGCTGTTGCTGGTGCCCTACTTCGCAGGGCTTTTGTAGCAGCGAGACAGCCATAGCTGCCTCCTTTGTCAGAGTGACTCATCGGCACTGAGGACTACATCGCAGTTCATGATCTTCATCTGGGTGGATGGCGCTTGCCTCTGGGAGGCTGTTTCAGTGTGGCGCTAGTCACTGGGAGTGGGGTATTGGGTGTGGTGTGTGGTACTGAGGTGGCGAGATACTGAGTTAAACTCTGTAACGATAATTGGAGTTAATTGAGTTGAGTTGGCTCATCATCAGTGTTATATTCCGACTGCGATCTTCGCAGTGTCATCTTGTGATTGGTTGATGGGAGTTTGTGAGAGAGAGAGAAACACTGAGTGTGTTCTCCCCATCTGTGCATGGTTGCTATTCCGCTGCTTATCTCTGGTCTGTGTACAGTGTGGACTCTGTCTCCTCTCCCCTTTGTCTTGTGCATGTATGGGCATGTGTGAGATACTCTGTGTGTGAGTGGCGAGAAAATCGTCAGACAACCAAGTTCATAACACATGAATCAGCATGATAGCTTAAAATAGATTGCCTCACACATGAACTTGTCCTGCTGCAGTGCGGACATTGCCCATGCATGATTTCAATTCCAACTTGCGACCTGTTTGTCTGTTTAACAGTGTTTCTTAAATTAATCAGTGACATATGCATATGACATTCATGTTTCATCCACAAAGGCAAAAAAAAAAAAGGCAAAAAAGAAAGAAGAGCTACATAGGCAAAGGTGCTTGTGTCTTGGCTCTTGAGGCCAAGGGTGCCAGTTGGAATCTGTGCGCTGTCATGCGGAGGGATCCGAGGCCTGGACATCATGCCAGGAGTGGGTGGCTGTTGGGGGAGAGGCCCCCTTGTGGTTGACATGCGACCATAGCTTTCTCTCCTTTTCTTTAGACATGCGACCGTAGCTTTCTCTCCTTTTCTCTTCCCTTCTATCTGGACGCCGTGTATTGGCAACTGGCGACAAACATAGCTTTTTCTAGAGTGTATTAACGTGCGGTGTGTTTGGCTGAATGTGGCCATGATTCTCAAATGGTGCATTCGGGATAGTCACAGAGTGAGCATATGGTCATTGGGTCTCCTCACGTACATCTCACGTTAAAGAATCTTCCAAAAAATCATGATCGCACTCTGTCCTAATCCCATTTTGTGGATGGCCGATGTGAAAACAATGTACGGAAACATCCTTATAATGCAAGGACGATGCACTGATGCAGAGCCATTTTTGTAAGGGAATGTAATATACCTCCTGGAGGCGCTTTACGATGAAGGACTGGTTGGGAGGGAGTCGCTTTCTTTTTTTTTCTTTTTTTTTTAATTGCAGGCCTCTTGCAAGGCCTCTATCTCGGCAGTGGTAGGAGAACCACCAGAATTGAGGCTGTGGCTATTGGGCTGCTCCATCTATTGGTGGGGAGCGACACCTGCTGGAAATCGGGTCCAGCGCCCCTTAGATACATCAGTTACGTATAATGTCGGGGCTATAGCAATTGGTCATTCTACACTGGAGCACCCTCTGTCCCATCGGGGTGGGAGGGAGTCTCATAGGGGCCCTGTATAGAAAATTATCTGGATGATCAAATGGCCAACTGCTGAAGGGACTGTCATATGCCTGGTGGCTAGCCTCTACAACAACCTGGACTTTTTTGGGGGACGAAAAAAAAAACAAAAAAAAAAATGATGGAGGACCGTAAACAGTGGGCGGTCTCCCACACCCTGTCCGACCAGGGTGGTCAGGTCGCTGTGGATGTCCAGTGGTCCTTTTTTTATTATTATATATATTTTTTAGGTGGTCCATTTAAAAAACTAGGCTTCATGTTGGTATTTTTAATCTTTTTTAGAGTAGCCATTGCCTGGCACACGGTTGGTTCACGAAAGGCAGGGTTGCCAGGGGAATAGTTGTTGTTGTTGTTGTTGTTGTCATCGATGTTGTCGCTGTTGTCACTGTTGTTGTTTTGACTCTTGAGGGGGTCAAGGGTCGTGAAATTTGAACGTTGCCACCAGTGCTGCGGCACGTAGAGCGGCTGATGGGGCAACGGCTGTGTATACAATCCACGGAGTGGGTTGTCAGCTATAATTGGGGGGGGGGCTGTAACTTGTTTGTCCATGAAGAGGGGTAGGTCATCAGCCTCTGCCATTGGGACCACACTCTACTAGGTTGACCTGCTAATGGCGGCACGGACATCCAGCCCGCCGCTGCATTTTTTTTTCGAGAATTTCCTCTGTGCCCTGGGATGTCTGGTCCATCCTGCAATTAGAGAGTTAGACCTGCGTGGCAGCGCCAAACAGGTTACTAGTGCAAATTTTTAATCATGTATGTGACGAGACCCATAATTCCGAGACAACCATTTTGTAATGTACGCATGTCATCCTTATGCAGGGGCCATGCTGATATTTTGTCGGTATCGTTTCTCTTTTCTTTTCTTTTCCTGACAAAAAAAAAAAAAAAAAAAAAAACAAAACAAAAAAAAAAAACTGAACGTTACAGTTCTGGCTCCGTTCTCCATTCTGGGGAGCATCAGTCTGGTGACTCTGGTTCCTATTCCACCGGCAAGTCTGAAGAAAATTTTACAATAGTTACTCACACACACTCCTCCCCATTATGATTGAGAGGCCCGAGTGGGCGGCATTGATTACGTCCTGAGGGAAGGATGATGTACCACCCCTCACCCCTGCCTTTTTTTTCCCTTTCTTTCTTACTTCACTTTTCTTTCTTTCTTTCTTTCTTTCTTTCTTTCTTTCTTTTCTTTTTTCTTTTTTTTTTCTTTTTTTTTCTGTTTTTTTTTTCTTTTCTTTGAAAGCCCAGGGTGTTGTAGACGCCCAAGGACCAGACCCACGGTGATCGCTGGCAGCGGCAGCTGGTAGTTCTCCTGTCAAGTTACCCTGCATGACTCCGCCTCTCTCCCTACCTACACCTCTACCTCTAACGCAGCGCTGTATTGCGCTGCTCCAGCAGCGTGTCGCCCAAGAAGTGAGCTACTTGAACTGTGTGTGTGCCCTGGCCTGGCCTAGCTATCTATAGTGCTGGGCCTGGCTGGTGTGCCTCTGGTCCTGGCCTGAAACGGCCTGCCTGGGTCCCAACCGGACGCCCAGGCCCTCCCTGCTGATGCAGCAGGGAGTGTCTGCTACCTGACGAAACTGAACCTGGCCCGAATGGAGAAGGCCCAAGACGTGGCCTCGGTCAGAAGACTCAGAACAGACCGTAAGTCTGTTCGGACTCACTGCAAGTCCGAAACGACGCCTGAAACAGACAAGAATAGGACAGCAAATAAATAAATAAATGTAATGACCCGCCATAATACAGACTGAGAACACTGCTGATTTCTGTGTTCTGCCGATGGAATGGATGCTTTGCTGAGATTCGGAGATTCCCGCATTCTGCTGAGTTTTCTAAGTCTGTATGTGTGTGTGTTTGTTGACCTGCGTGCCTGTCTGAGTGCTTGTCGGCATGAGTGTGTGTGACCCGCAAGGGTACTTGATTGTTTGGCAGGCCCGTAGGGCCGGTACTTACCTGTGGTCGTGGCATTGAGGGTTGCAGCAGGGGAAAACACTCAAGTGGCGGAGCCAGAGGCCCGCGACACTTAGAGCAGCGAAAAAACACTGAAGTAGCCGGTAGGCTGGTACCACACCCAGTAGCAGTAGATGTGCCGGGTACTCGAGGCCGAGCAGAAGAAGACAAAGTTGGCATTTTTAGAGGCCCAGTAGCAGTAGGCTAGGTCTAGGCCGGTACCAGTCCATCCAGTCTGAGTCTAGAGCCTGTACGGGCAATATCAGAGTCTGCAATGATGTTTCCCTCCGAAAGGGAGGAGGTATCGGTTGCTTGGGAGGCCGAGCAGCCTGGAAGTCACCGCCCAGGAGGCATGTAGGCTGCTATATCAAGAGGCTGAGGGAAGAGCCCGGCCTCATTCTTCAGTGTGCAAGTTTGGCGACACGCTGCTGGAGTGCTGGCTACTACAGCGCTGCTGGGAGGAAGAAGCCGGGAGCTTCCACCTTGGCTATGGTGGAGCTCTACCAGTAGGAGGAGGAGGGAGAAGAGGACCAAGGAGGAGAG